AGATAAATATATGCCTGCTCTAAAGCAAACTTGTCAAAATAGCAAACAAAAAAGCAAACAAAGACATCCCTCTTCAAACCTGTGTGTTAACAACTATACAAACCATTCACAATTTTGTAAAGTATACATAGTTTTATAGAAGACAAAATGGGATCCTTAATAGTTTTCTAATAAGGAAAAATAGACTTGAAGTAACTAGATAGGTATGAAACCGACAGCCTCTTCCTTCTCGATCCAAAGGATTTCATCTATTGGAAGGGCTTGTTGCCTGCCCCACAGGAGAAAAACATGAAAACTTATTGAAAAAATCCTCATTGTCCTTCATAGGTCATGGTTATGCATAACAAGATGGAATTTATGCTATTTAACTAGATTGGTTAGTGGCGATTTGGCAGTTAATTATTGGAAAATTGTGTTTGTAACCAATAGCAACTGTAATTGGATGTCAAGTTTAATTGTGACTCTCTATAAAATGATATGTCCTGGAAGAAAATGTGTCCAGGATGAGGAGCCTGCATGTCAGGCAATAACCTGGTACAATCAGTTCTATTTTATTCTACAAAACCAAGGCATTTTTCATGGCTGATATCATTTTTGAAGAACCAGTGGGAAATAAGACCTCTCCCCAAGGACAGGTTAGTTTGATCAGACTAGAGCATTCAACCTTGGATTACAACGCAGTTCTTTTAATAAGGTACGGGGGCTCATGCATGCAATCCTAGTCCTTGAGAGGCAGAGGGATCAGAAGTTCAAAGTCATCCTTAGCTGTGTAGCCCTGTGTGGGTATAGGGAACTGAACGCAGGACCTCTGCCAGAGTAGTATAGTATGCTCCGAACCACTGAGCAATCTCTGCATCCCTGTCTTTTCTATATACCTGATTTTGTGTCTGACTTCTTGTCCCTTTGAGCTCTGCATGAGGTTGTGCTTTGCTTCCCTTAAGCCAGGCTTATCACTCTGAAATTCAGCTCTCCTCATTCCACTGAGATCCTCTTTCCTTCTCAGAAATCATTGTTGTTATGCTGATCAGACAACTTGTTTTCTTTTTGCTAAATATGAGAGCAGCATTCTCATGCAGGTTTCCTCTTCCTCTGGAGAAGCCAAATTTTATGATTTTGCATGGAATTAATAGAAACCAATCAATCACAGCTAAATCAACAGTGCAATGATAAGCAACAGATGTTTCTCATAGTAGTTGAGTTGGCAAAGCAACAGGAGATGGAATGCCCATTCTTTTGCATTGCCAAGAGTGCTAAAAAAAAGCCACATCATCAATAGAGCTGCCAGTTCAGGGGGCTAGGGTAGCAGGCCTAGGATGAGGATTTCTGGCTAACATTGTCTGATTTAGCTATCTGCTGACATTGGCCATTTTCACCCTGCTAATAGTATATAAGATACTGTACTCCTCAACAAACTTGCTTAGCATAAGTCATCAGCTTACCCAAGACCTCCTGGTACCAGCTGTTGCATTGGTCTTCTTTATTTCTCATCCCTGGTCCTCCCACTCAATACTTCATCATTCAGCCCCCTTATTCCTGTGGGTTTGGCTCAATGCTGAGCATATAGCTCTGCTTTGCAGCAGGCACAGAACCCCCAGTCTAAAGTTACTAAAGAGCTACCAGCAATCCCTCTGAGGATTAATCCACAAAATACCCAGCACTCAGAAGTCCTGAAGAACAATGAGGAAGGGCTAGTAGGGAGACATGTCCTTCTCTTCGAAAAGCACACCAATCAAAGCTCTGCTTGTTTCAGTCTGTTTAAATTGAATGGACCCTGGGTAGATGTAGAGGGCTCCAAAATCTCTAAGTTATGTAGAAGTCACACACTGAGATCTACTGTTAAGAACTTGTTTTTCTGATGTCCAATGATGAGAGGCGGGAAGGGGAATAGAAATTTAGAGAGAAAGACAGAAGAGAAAAGCAGAGTGGAGAGAAGGGAAGAGGGAATAGGACAGAGACAGAGAGAGGGAAAGAGATAAAGAGGAGATAGAAGACATGGGAGATAAAGACAAAGGCAAGGTGGGCAGAGAGTGAGGGGAGAGAGAGTAAGAGAGATATATTCAGAGAATGGGAGAGGACAGGAGGGAAGGGGGGAAGAGAAGAGAGGAGGCACAGAATCAGGAGGAGAGGGAGGAACAAAGCGACTGCTCTCAGGATGTCACTAGTGCCAAGCAAGTGCTTTTCCACTTGTTTTTCACATGTTTTACCCACAGCCAGTCACTTGGGCTGAAGTTTTAGCAGGGTGGACATCACTGCTCCATCCATCCAAAGATAACTCAAGTCAGTCACCAGTAAACTCTTGGCATCATAGAGGTCTAAATTTTGTCACCAAACTGAACAAAACTCCAAGAAAAATTAAAAAACCTTAAGTTTTCTTATGATCAATGTGCCCTTCCAATTTACAGTCACATAAAAGCCGTCTAAGTGTCTACAACAATACATCTCAGTGCTCTGCAAACTCAAAATGTTCTCAACATTGCTTGGGTTACTATCAGTAGTAATAAATACTCCATTCATTTGAAGAAAGAATATTTCAATGAGTGTGCATCAGTTTATTGCATTTTATAGTTCAATTTTCCTTCAGATTTTCTTAAATATTTTGAAAATTTCATAAGCATATCTGTGATGTCAATTTGACAGGTTTTAAATTCACTTGGGAGTCAAATCTCTAGCTGTGCCTAAGAGAAAGTTCCTTTGAAAATTTCATAAGCATATCTGTGATGTCAATTTGACAGGTCTTAAATTCACTTGGGAGTCAAATCTCTAGCTGTGCCTAAGAGAAAGTTCCTATATTAGGGTAACTGATGTGGGAAGACCCACCCTGAGTGTGGGCAGCCCCACTCCCTAGACTGGGGTCCTGAATTAAAAAGGAGAAAGTGAGCTGAGCACCAGCATCCATCTCTCTGTGATTCCTGACAGTTGGTGCCTGACCAGCTGCCTCATGCTCCTGCCACCATGCTTTTCCCACTGTGACAAACTGTACCCTTAAAGTATGAACTAAGTTCAACCCTTTTATTTTTATCAAAGCATCAAGAAAAGTAACTAAGGCAACATCCAAATCATTTCCAAGCCATCTAATAAGACTACCTGTCACCCCAGATGCCACTCTTTGAAAGACGGCATATTAGGAAGCCAGTGTAGACCATGCCAAAGCATGCTGTATTATTGGGAAGAAATGATCATTCCAGTTCCATCCTGATTGGATGATACAATACTCATGATATCTCTCCAGATGGTTCAGTCATCACTAAAAATGTGAGAAAGTTCAAGAATTGGTCATGATTGCAGTGTATCCAGCAATCTTCTGCCTACTTAGAGCATCTGAAATGGAATTCCTGAGTTCCACTAACTGCCTGAGTTTGCACAAATGGAAAAAATATAATTCTCCTGTCATGGTCCACCAGTAGAGCATCAGTTACTCTGATAACTCTGAGACCGAATAATGGTACGGGGACCCACGATAGCTACTTGAAAAACACCTGAGGTAAAGCATTATCTGTATTATGGCCGTGTCTCACTTTAATAAGTGAGACAGAGTGGATATGAGGCAGTGAGAAACTTCTAGAATTGCCATCTAGGGTATGAGTGCCCTGTGCTAATCCCCATCTTGAGATATAAAAACTGGAGAATGTGATATCTCCATTTACCAAGGCCTGAAAAAAATTTGAGAACCACTTATTCTGAGAAACATGATAATATCCCAGAAACTTCATTGTCTTATCTTCAGGTTGGAGCCCCAAGGAGAGAGAGAGAAGCCAGTCCCAAATAACCGTGTAGCTACTGAGTGAGTGCATTCAATCACCTCAGAGAATCCCTGCCTTTTCAGTCAAGGTGGCACTAAAGGAAAGTTGGATAGTCATAGCTAAATGCCCCAGTCTGTGTTCAGTAGGAAGTCCCCTAACAAAAAACAGAAAGTTACAACACAATAGAGAAAGTGAACTACAAGCTAGATCATAAGCACTTTTTTTTTAAGCACAAAACTGGCAAATTCACTTAAAACTTTGGAATTGATGTGGATACCAAAATATTTTCCTAATTGGCTGACAAAAGAAGACAGAGGCTGGCAAGCTTTGTTAAAGCATTTCATAATTACGAGGCTCCGCCTGCCAACTGAGGAGAGATTTCAAAGCATTTCATAATCATAAGATTCCACCTGCCAAGCAAGGGATTTCAGGGAACAGCTTACTGTATTTTCTGTCTTTGATTTGGGTTATAACGATTGTGTACTATTTAAAAGAGATTGCCATTAATTTAGTGGTGATAATTAATTTTTTTCAAAAACAGTGTACATTCGGGTGTTGGATATCCAAAATGAAGATTCATAATATTAAAGTAGGCAGGGCTGGAGAGTTGGCTCAGTGGATAAGAGCGCTTGTGCTCTTCCAGAGGACCCAGGTTTGATTTCCACCACCCACAAATTGGCTCATAATCATTGGTAACTCCAGTTCTGAGAGATCCAATGCCCTTTTCTGATCTCCACGGGGACCAGGCTCACATGTGGTGCACAGAAATAAAGCCAGATGTTGCCTTTTAAAAAAATCTAACAAGATTCCTAATAGAAAGATGAGCATGTCGACTATCAACTTGAAGCCAGGTAGGTGTTCATGTGCCCTGTCCTCGGAAGCTAATGACTTTATTTGACGCCAACTCCTTAGTTTCTTATCTTCTCTGTTCCCAAAACAGGATGGATATTCTCCCATGCCTTCCTATGAGATTCCTTCTTGAAAAATCAGATATTTGGCCCCCAGAAGGTCATTGTTACCATCTCTCTCATTTTGCACACAGACTGAAGAGTGAACTGACTTAAAATAGTCAATATCTGGAGCTGATAGCTATTTCTAAAGTAAAGCATAAGAAATGTCACTCATCACTTACCTCTTTACAGTATTCGAGAAAACTTTTTATCATCTTTCCCCCTCCTCCCGGTGTGTTTATAATGTATCTCTCTTTATTAGTCTCTGCGAAATAATAGTTATGCAAATACTCCCATAAAAGTCAAATTGGTGCTCATAGTAGCAGCAAATGTGCCCAAATGGAAAAGATACAGAGATAAGCATGGTCCCTGTGCAGGGATGATGTGCAAACTCACACAGCAGTCCATATTTTCATAAATGGACCAAGTGCTCAGAATAAGTGACCATGGAGTATTCAGCCCCAAATGCAAAAGTGATCACATGCCTCCTAGAATCAAGGGATATCATGGAAAAGGAGGGATAATGCAAGAACTAATGCAGAGAATAATTCCAGAGAAAGTGGGGAGAGGAAGCATGTCTTCTAGAAACCACATAGTTGTTGCATTCATGAAGGCATACCTCCATGGTCATTGCACAAACCTGTACATGATTGGCCTATCAACATTTCATCATGTGTTTCTGGGTCCTAACAGCTTCCTTGAGGAAGGGGGTGAGAAGGTGTAGCATCAACAACACAGACACTGGGAGTCAGCTGAAAAGAAAAAACAGGGGACTCCTTTATTTAGCAATGAGGGGAACCTTATATACCCTCCCAGCACCCAAGTATTTCAATCCTGGCCACCCCTCATTGGCTAGGGACTTCAATTTTGGATTCCCCATTCTGGGTTATCTTATCCCACATCCAAACCTTGGTACTTGAACCACAGATGTTGACTACAGAAAAACAGTCATAACAAGTTCAAATATGAGGAGTGGGGCAGGTGGGATGATTCCTTCCATGTGATAAAATGTGTGATGTCTAGTAAAATATCAGGAATCAGTGGATGAGTGACAGATGAGATTTTTAAGAATATGAGCAAAGGCTCCCAAACAAGGTTAGGAAACAGTGGTACAGATGTCTCAGAAACTGCTCCATGTGGATCCTCTCCTCATTGCTTATTCCTGTTCTCTCTTCTCTGCAGCCAGTGTGTTATCATAAGGAGCTCCAGGTCTTGCAAAATATCAGGGTTATTATGTTTGAATTGGAGCTAGTTATGGTTCTTTGTTCTTTGCAGGGTTTCTAACACAACAATATTATTCTCAGTCTACCTGCAATTCTAAAGAGATCTCTCCAGGAGAATATATAGATCCAGATCACTTGTGTGTGTGTGTGTGTGTGTGTGTGTGTGTGTGTGTGTGTTTCTTTTATTGAAATGTGTGTGATTTGGCAATGAGATCCTTTATACATTTGTTATAGGTACTCTAAAATATACTAATTTTCTTTGAAAGTATAGAAATGACTTTGGACTTTTGATCTCAGCTTCCATATACTTCTTCATTATTAGTATATAGAAGTGGATATTTGTGTGTATGTATATATGTATGCATGGTCTGTATTCCTATGTGGATACACATACATGTGTAGGTGTTCACGAATTTTTGTGTATGGATATGAGAGGACAACCAATGAAACTATAGAAGTGGATATTTGTGTGTATGTATATATGTATGCATGGGTCTGTATTCCTGTGTGGATACACATACATGTATAGGTGTTCACGAATTTTTGTGTATGGATATGAGAGGACAACCAATGAAACCCATTCACTTTAGGTTTTGGACTGTCTTTTAATGGCTAAGAGCTCTCCAAGTAGACCATAATGGCCAATGAGCCCCAGGGATCTGTCTGTCTCTGACTTCCCAAGGTCTTGGATTTAAAACATGTGATGCTGCCAGGTATGATTATCCATGTCTTTGTTCCCAAGCACCTAGGAAGTAGAGGCAGCAGACCTCTGTAAGTTAGAGGCCAGCCTAGTCTACATAACAAGTCCCAGACCAGTCACCTACATGGTGAGACTGTTCAAAAAAAAAAAAGACAGCAAAAAAGCAAACCAAAAATAAGCAAAAAATAATACCCCCATGTCTCCATGCCTGGCTTTTTACATGGGTTCTGGGGATGTAAAATTTGTGCTTTACTTTGTGAGCCATCCTCCTACCCTTAAAATGTACATTTCTGCTCCTCCATTTCCTCCTCTCCCCTCCTCTTCTCCTCCTCACATTCTGCCAACTCCCTCTCCCCTACCCTCATGCTCTGAATTAGCTTAGGAGATCCTGGCCCTTCCCATTCTTGGGGTACCATGCATTTTTCTCTTAGAGTCCTTCTTGTTTCCTAGTTCCTTTGGTGAAGAGGATTGTAAGCTGGTACTCCTTTGTTCTATGTCTAAAATTCATATATGTGTGAGTACATACCATGTTTGTCTTTTTTGTGACTGGGTTTCCTCACTCAAGATGGATTCTTCTAGTTCCATCCATTTGCCTGCGAATTTAAAGATTCCATTGCTTTTTTCTGCTGAGTAGTACTCCATCGTGTAAATGTACCACATTTTCTCTATCCAATCTTCAGTTGAGGGGCATCTAGGTTGCTTCCAGGTTCTGGCTATTATGAACAACACTGCTATGAACGTGGTTGAACACATATCCTTGTTGTAGGAACATGCATTATTTGGTTATATGCACAAGAGAGGAATTGCTGGATCTTGAGTTAGACTGATTCCCATTTTCCTG